CCGCGGATGATTTGGGAGCCATCCCTTCCTCCAGGGGCCCCCAAAGCCTTTAAAAAGTTCAAATAAAGGGAATTCCCATGGAAAGCAGGGCAGCCTCTTGCAGGTTGTGTTCTGCCTTCCCCAGACGGTGAGCTCCGGCAGCACACAGCCCCTGGCCCTGGGGAGTACTGCGAGAGCCGTCCCCAGCCACCGACCGCCCACGCAGGCTTTGCAGCCACTGCTGGCAACAGAGAATTTCCTTACAACTCCTTTTCTTCATGCACCCCTCCAAGCTAAAGCAGCCTGGGGTAGCAAGGAGTGAACAGAGCTTCACAGGAGATTTTAAAGGCACCTGAAAGCGTCACCGTCCTAAGGTCGGGGGGGTGGGGTGGGGGTTTCATCCCTGCCCAGATTCAGCTCTTCTCTGCCACGGGGCTCAATTTATTGCTGATCTCCAGAGGTGAAAATTCAGAACCTTACACCGCTCGTTTGAACGACAGGAGTTTGAATGAGAGCATCTTACACAGGAGGCACGTGAAAACAGAAGGGCATTGCTGGTTAGAAGGGAACCCAGCGGCCAGAGGACGGTGCAGAGGTCGAGCCCCAGCGCCGGGGCTAGCACAGGTACAGTGGCCACGGGGAGATACAGAACATAAAAGCAATGAGGAAGGCAAACCGGGGAAAACGGCAAAAGCCATGCAGACATCGCCACCTCTGCAAGGACGTTTTTCCCGGTGATGCTAAAGCAAAACCACGGGCTGGACGTTTGTACCCAGTGCGGGGGCCAGGAGGTGCTGAGGGCTGCGGAGCTGCTTTCTGGGCAGCATCGCATCCCTCCGGCCTCCCGAGAGCTCAGGGCAGCAGGGCCCACCACCGAGAAACTCTCCTCCACGGCGGGGGGAGCACGGGGGAAAGGCAGAAAGCAAAACACCCGCAAGAAGAGTAGTTGTGAGGTCAAGTGACAAAATCCCAGCCCAGAACCAAAGCAGCTTCAGTCCTGCCCCAAACCAGCATGCTCTTCCCTGCGTCCTCCTACTCAACGTCAGGGAGGAGATGGAGGGAAGGGTCTGCTGGGAAGGGGGTTCCTTTCTTCCATTTCATTTTAGCAGGAAGCGCTCAAAGGGAGGTCCCTCTCTGTCCTTAACCAGAAGCAGCACAGGCAAATCTACTCTGCTAGGAAGAACTTGGGACTTCCACCCAAGGTGCATGACGTGGAGCTGGCTGCCGTTGGCAAGGAGCCTGCTGCACCCCTGGACATTTTGTCCAAGGGCTCATTCCTGTGTAAAAGAGAAGTATTTTGCGTAGCCCCCACCCCTCAGCTACCCAAAGGCCCTACCTCTGCTCCCTGGGAAGGAGTCAAGATGCCTCAGCCAAAAGCCTTGCAAAACCAAGGGAAGCAAGGCTGGTGAGCGCAGGGAGTCAGCAGAGGACGGGCTTTGAGCTCCCTAAGGGCATCAGACTGACAAAGCAGCCCCTGCTACTTGGGCTACATCAACGCAGCTCTGACACGGGATAAACCAACAGGTCCTGAGCCAGCGCTCCGGCCACGAACCGCAGGAGAGCTTCAGGGACATCTTGGCACCGAGATCCCTGCTCACTGAATCCCATCCATCCACCACTTAACCCGAGCTGTGCCAACTCCCCCTGCGCCCGGGGAGGACACGGACATCACCCGTCTGTCCTGTGACAGATCGCACCCAGGAGCCGCCGGAGGATGGTTCGTACTGGAAAAGCCATTTCTTGTGGTGGTAGCATGGATTATAAACGCCCTCGGTTTTATCACAGGGAATGCAGCTGAGCATCAGGCTGGCAGAAAACATCAGACACAGGTAAAGCGGGGCACCGTGCTCCATGGGACAGAAGGGAGGGCGATCGTTTGAGAGACCACCGTTATTTTTCCATACCAGTATAGCACGAAACCTCAGCAGGGCACGAGCAGACGCTGCTCAGCCTCAGCACACCGCCACGGACAATAAAAAGGATCACGTAGAAATGTGCGTGTGCTGCAGGCAGGACTGGCCTCTATTTATCCAAGGGCCCTAGCAAAGGCTGGGAAGCTGGGACTGAAGCCAAGGGCAAAGCCCAGAATCTGGACGATACCGCTGCGATTGCTTATCACTCTGCTTGATACTTGGCTTCCCGACGCGGGCTTCTCAGTTCAGCTGTACCTGCCTTCAATTAAAGGATTTTGTGCCTGCAAGACCAGGGGAAATAAAAATGCCCAAAGCATGCACAGTGTACAGAGCCAGGAGGTGCGGTGCTGCTACGGAATAAAGAAGCTTCTGTGACCTTCAAGAAAAATTGCTGTGTTAAGTTGGGACCTCAGGCACTTGGCACCGAATTCAGTTCAGTGCAAATGCTGATTTTCTCTCTCCCTCCTTGGCCAGGTTGCTGCCTCTCCAGTCAAATTCTGCAGTCCCTTAGGAAAACGCTGCACCGCTCCATCACCTTCCCAACAGCAGCTCTGGCACCAAAGCCTTCCTTGAGATCACGGGGTTTGTCCTGCTCCTCTCCATTCTTGATTGCTTTGACGTGGTTAAACTCACAAAAGGAACAAAGCTCGTTGCCTCAAGCACAGCCCGAATCACAGCATCATTTGATTGGAAAAGACCTTTAAGATTATTGAGTCCAACCCTACCTGCCCACCACTAAACCAGATCCAAAGTGTTTCTGCAACAGAAACCCAGGACCTTCCTGCCACCACTGCTGTTGCCTCCTCTTCCTAAGAAGTCGGCTGCAAGAAGAGGAAAGCCCTGGCCAGGGCATCTGATGCACAGAACTGGACACAGACATGCTGGGCTCAGAAAGCTGGAGGTGAGCCATGCTGGACTGGTTCAACTCAAAGACCAGTGGGAAGGATCCCAAACCCCACGGTGTTACCCGAGGCCTAAAACCTGGGATGTTGGGTTGTTCTCCCCTTGCCGCTCTCCACATTAAAGGGAGCCAGTGGATTTGCTTCAGTCGTTTATTCCTTCTGATTCGGCTCGACGGCTGTTCAGGTAGCGCCAGAGGCAGGAATGAAAGTCTAACCAGAATTAATAGATTTGTTTTCCTGGCTCAACTTCCATAGTAGGGATTAACGCAGATGCTCTGCGGAGGTTCTCTCATCCTAGGCAAACACAGCTGGGCTGACTCTCCCGCTTAAGGCACGGTGTGAGTGGACATGAAAGCGCTCTCCTTACGGACTTGTCCACTTCTTTATCTTCAGAGATTTTATAGTCATTTACCGAGCGCCTGTCGAGACAGACACATCACAGCGCACACCGCTACTCACCACATGCTCGAGTTTTTGCAAAAAAACGTGAAAAAGTAGCAGAACCTCAGGGGAGGAATTTTCAAATTTCATGTCTATTTATTCGACTAACGAAAGGCCACTGTGGTTGTTCAACGCAGCAGGAACACAGCAGAGAGCAAAGACTAAGTACCACTCCCGAGGACCTGATCGCTCGTTTTTGGCTAGACCACAGGCTCCTTTAGCTCACGTCTCCAGCAGCTTCAGGGCAATGTCAGAACAAATCACCCTTCCAGCTGTGCTTCTTTTGCACCATCCTGGCTTCCATCAGCCTGCAGCTCCAGACCACCCGAACCAGAGGTGCTCTGGCTGCCTCCAACAGGTCCTACAGGCGCCTCCTTTCATTAATTGCTTTCCCAACCAATATAAATGTTCAAAACCGACAGGCCACTAGAGGACACCAATTTGTCTTTTTAACTCCATGGACTGAGCTGGTTTGCAGAGCCCAGCTGAGGAAACACCACAAACTGCTACCGTCTGCACTGGCTCTTGGAGGCCATGTTCCTGTAATTACAGGAAGGGCTCCCTGGGGTTAAAGGTCACTAACTGCTCAGTGAACAAAGAATTTGGAATTTAGGCATATTCCGTCCTTTCTCCTTCCCCTTCTGGCTAGCACATCCACACTTATCTTCTCCTCCATGAAAGACCCAGAGAGCCTTTACAGTAAGACTCCACCAAATCGTTCTGCAGCACGAGGCAATGGGTCCTTTCAAAGACGTACATTCGGTAAATATATGAAGCTTCAAATAGAAACATAAAGTTGGAAGCTCCTCCAGCGTGGCAGGAAATTGTTTCCATCAGCACACCGTGCCCGGAGAGCTCACGGCTCTCGGGCGGGCTCCTTCCTTCTTAAAGGAGCTTGGTCCCACCTGGGTCATGCTCAAAGGGAATGAAAGCGCAGGGCACAGCGCAGAAGGGGGGCATTCTGTGCATCGAGCATTAAAATATAGCGTAAAATGATGTAACGCTGCAAAATCAGTGTGAAGTTTTGGGTGTGCTTAGGTGGCCAAACCCACTGCTTCTTGCTCCGCAGTGCTCCCCGCCAGCCCCGTGCTCGCAGGGCGTCCAAGCCGTGGCAGGAGGAGGGCCATCCTTCAAAGCGATGCCAGGAGAGAGAGGAGAACGCGAAGGAGCGGTCGGTGGCGATGGCTCGTGACAGCAAGCCATGCTGCACGCTTCCCCGGGAAGCAAATTCCCCCTTTGCTGAGATCTATTCCAGGCTGACGTACTGACCCGGCCTCCCAGTAACATGCTTTAGGCAGGGAGTACAGAAATACAATCACTCCGTGTTTTTTCCTGGCTAGCGTGCGTGATCTCAAAAGCCAGCTTCGTCTTCTTACCCATCCGGAGAGAACGACAGCGGCTTAGCCCGGGCTGCAGACTATTCGGGGCAGAGGGGATCAGCACACTGAAACTCATCGACGCCACAGGTTAGTTTGGGGAAGCATGGAAGGAGAACGGCTTCCGCAGTTCTCGGATCAAACAGCATCACGAATTAAACATATGGTGCAATCAGATGGTCATAGGACAGTTTTATTAGTATTTCATGTTTGGAGAACACGGCCATTCAAGTAACTCCTGACTGCACGAAGGAACACGCTCGGAGGGAACACGAGTCCCTTCCCATGACACCTTCGGTGTCCTACCCCTGGGTTACAACCCCCAAAGGGATTAATACAAAGCTCTTCTTATCAAATGGAATAGACAGAGCGAACAGATCATTTCCTACCTTCATCTCCTCTTCCATTTCCGAGAGTTTCCGCTCCAGGGCTCGCTTCTCCTGTTGACAAGGATTCATAACAAAGATGGTCACAAGGATTTAAAAGAAAAACTCATGGCGCATTTTATTTTAAAGAAAAAAAATCAGAGTCTTGCAGTTCGGTGGGAGCATTCACTGAAAAGCATCGCAAAGGAACACACAGGGTGCGACCAGGAGCTGAGCAGACGGGGCAGGACCCATCTCGGCAGATGTCCTGACCCTGAGCTCTCCTCACAGCCCTCCAGTGAAACTTCCCCCCCACTTTCAGTGATCCCAGTTTCCAGGACTTTCTGCTGTAATGCGACTTTGAGATCTGGAGGCGAAGCCACGGATTTACCTGCACCCCACGGAAGAAGGCAACGAGAAACCGCACCGAGCCCATGAAACAGAAACAGTAAACGGGGAAAGGTGCCTGGAAATTCTGCTTCTCCCAGCTCAATTTAGGATTCAAAGCTGATTGATGGCTTCCAGGATATTTTGGAAACCGGCAATCACACCGGTAGGCTTTGCCGTGTGGGTGGTGCCCTCAGTGGCCAGCCCTTGCCTAGAGGGAGAGACCTGGACTCCATCAGTGACTTTTTCAACATGAGAGGGCTCAAACTGCCCCAGGAAAGCGCACTGAGCAGGAGCGAAGGGCAAACGTGGGTCAGGAACCGCCTTTACACCCCCTGCCCCACTCCTTTGCCCTCTGCAAAGAAACATGAGGCCTGGAGAGTGAGGAAAGCACAGCTTTCGCATGTGGCCGTGGGTGGTGTGGATGTCTGTGATGGGTTCTGGGTCACTTTTTGTCCACAGCGCTCTTCATCCAGGCTTTCACTGTGCAACACGCGTAAGCCAACCTGGGAACAGTTCATGCCACCTTCACTGAGGACAGGCGGGCACTTTTTTTCTCTCTAACTCTCAGAATCCTGTATCTGTGGCTGTCATGATCCTAATTCAATAAAAGCAATGCGGGACATTGCCTCAGCTTGGAAGCACCGCGCGGGTGGGAGATAGGACGCGTGGTGTGAGCTCCCTCTGCTTGGCCATGTCCGCCCAGGGCAAGCGCCCTGACCACCACACTCTCTTTTTTTTCCCAGAAGAAAACCTCCACCCGTGTCACGACCTCCCCCAGCAGCCTTGTGCAGACGGCAGCGACGGCTGCGCGTTTGATAACCCCTGCCTTAGCACGCCTGGGAATCGGGCCCATACGGACCAGCGCTTTGAGCGGCTCCGTCTCGGGGCTCAGACTGGCGCAGAGCTGCTCAGCGGCCGCGCCACGGCCCGAGCATCAGCTTCGCCCCCGGTAGCGCCCGGGCTGCTG